AAAGCAAGACATCTCCGGAATGCGATCATCACAACAGGTACTTGGTCTGAGCCCACTAACATAGGAAATCGAGCTGTTGCAAGAATGCTGAGGGAACCAGACACTACAGCTAGAGACTGTGGTTCTGGAGCTCAAGCCTCATAAGTCTGCTTCCGACTCTAGTAGGGCCTTGGCTGAAGGCAGCTGCCACAATTCTACCATTCCTGCAGCATCTTTTTTGTTTTGTTTTGTCACATAACCCCGCTTGCCGCTGTTCGCCATGGCGGGGCATTCCTGCAGCATCGTGCGTAGTTGGTAAGTAGTCCCAAACAAAATCATTGCCAGTAGAGCGACCAGGTCAAGAGAAGGCTGGTGTCTCAGTCTGAAGAATTATCTATGTCGATGGTAGGTCACTAATGAACGGGGAATCCTCAGAACCAGGATCCTGGCGAAGTTGCAACTGGAGCAGGTTGCTTATTGGAAAATAACATTGCTAAGGACAATGTCTATGAGCTATGGGCCGACAGTTGGCTGGTGCATGCATGGTGGCGTACGAAGGGAGGTTTTTTGTCACAATCAAAGCTAGATTGAAAACTCTGAGTAAAGAGAAAGGTCCATGTGAACGGATACATACTTGTAGCATCTGGCGTCAGCCGCAAAAAGAAAATGTTGGCTCGACTGGGATTTGAACCCAGATCCCCCACCTCATGCCTCAGCCCTGCTTTTCACTTCACAGGATGTAGCCTTATCTAGTAGGTGTCATACCATTAGACCACCGAACCCTGATTGTTGGCATACATGAGTACAGCAGGCTTAACTACAGATCGGTCATAATCACGCCCTTCGTGCTGCGACCTCTCGTACCAGACAGTGCTTTGGCGCCGGCGCAGCGGCTCCGTTCCGCTTCCTCTACTAGCACTTGCCTCCTGAGCCCTCTCCCAATCGCATATAGGTTGATCCACTGTCACTGTATCTAAGGTTGTACATGCCATCTCAGCTACACAGAACGCGCTTCTCTGCAATAGACTCCTGATCAGAGTTCTTGCAAGCAAGGTTAAATCTTCTGATGCTTCTACTCTTTGCATTTGTCTAACAGCTGAAAATTAAAATTATGTTCGAAACACTAAGTCTTATCTCGTCATAGGGTCGCCCACCATACGGGAAACCACGTCTATCGAAATACCCACTCTGAACTTCCAGATGCAGCCTTGGAAGGAAGGAATTGGTGCTTTCCAGGTTCCAGCTGCTCTCGGTGTTGACATATGGATGTTATTCAATTTTTTAAGCGAATTTCGAATATCCCGTTCAAGTGTAAACGCGCCTAGGTAGGATCAGACTTACCTGTGTTTAATGCGACTTCGCCAGTCCTGCAAGAAGTGTACAGACTTTACCAATCTTTACCTAATGCGAGTAGGAGTTTCATGCAAGTTACTGGTTCAAGTAACACGACAAAAGAAGAACACGGTGTGGTAGGCAGCGCGCCTAAGCTACTACAATCGCCATAGCCCACAGGGCAGAAGACCACAGCCAGATACCAGATACCTGAGGGGGTCGCTGGAGCATAAAGACCCCCTTCCTCTCCATGTACACCCGATACATCCATCTGATTTAGGCAGGGAGGAGTGGGAGAGGCTAATAGCTAAGGAGGAAGATGAAGGGTGGACAAGGATTTACACGGATGGAAGTAGAATGGGGGACAAGACAGGCACTGGAGTGCATCAGACCGGGGAAGACACATCAATATACCTGGGAGAAAGATGCACGGTCAATGATGCTGAGCTGATGACGGCTGGGGAGGCAATTCGAAGAGAGGGGGAGCTGCTAATTATCACAGACTCCAGGACCACGGTGACGAGAATGAAGGGGATAGCCAGGGGGGACCCTACGCCGGAGGGTGCAGCGGAGCTGGTGAGGAGAAGGTGGGAGGAGAGGACGTCGAGAGGGGACTGGGACCTGGCGCTCCTGTGGGTTAAAGCACATGAAGGGATAGTGGGTAACACCGAGGCGGACAGGGCGGCCAAAGTAGCCACGGCGTTACAATACCAGGACGAGACGGTGACGGAGGCCGGCATCCGACAAGAGGCAAAGAACAGGAGAGGGGAGGAGAGAAAGAGACTACAACTGACGTACAGACCACTGGAATACCTGGGGACCAGAAGGAGGGTGTCCACACTCGCAGGCATAATGGGGGACAAAGGACTGAGACAATGGAGATACCAGATAGGAAAAGAAGAGTCACCGGAGTGCATGTGGTGTGGAAAAGCCCTCGAGAATTACAGACACATAACAAAAGACTGTGAGGCGTGGAAGAAGAGATTACCGGGAGGCGAGGCGAGGATGAAGATGCCAAAGGGGGGGAGAAGGGGAAGAAGAAAGAGGGGAGAAGGAGGGGATGAAACTGGTTGAGGTGTTGGACTGGGCAGCGAGCTAGTTTCTTTGTTTCACACACTCTACTTCTCTTTATGATTTATCAGTTACTATTTGTCCTTTATGTACCTAACACCTCGCCGTAGCCTACCAGGCGGCACGCGAGTAACGAAATTAAAAAAAAAAAAAAAAAAAAAAAAACGCGATTAATGATATTAAAAAAAAAGAAAAAAAAAATAAGCTACTACTACTGTGCTGACGCTGGGCTCAGACGTCGAGGTCACGAGGGTCGTATGGTGATATAGGCAGTGCTGGGTTACATACACACAGTGAGGGCAAGTCCAGGGGCGTGGGAGATGCTTAGAAACGGTGATGCTGCACCAACCGGTATAAGAAATTCCTTCTACCTTCTTCATCTTCATCTTTCATTCTCCCGATTCATTCTTCCTATTCACTCCGCTGGTGCGGAGAACGGGAAGAAACCACAGCACACCTCATGGACGAGGGCCGAATTTGGAAGCACAGGAACTGGCCGGGGGCAGACGAGACATCGCGGACCCACCAAGGCGGGACACCGACCCGATCCTCGGACCGATGGAACTTCTGGAAGAGACGGACTGAGACTAAGACGGGGAGAAGCGGTGACTACGTTCCGAGACGGGGAAAGGCGAGACATATTATTTCGTTTTTTCACTTTCCTTAACTTCCTGATTATCTCCTGTCCATTAATCTCATATGTATTTAAACCCTCGCCATAGCCCCAGGGTCGGCACGCGAGTAAAGGTATTAAAAAAAAATAAAAATAAACAATCCCTATTCACTGTTTACTCACCTGTTCATACTCATTTTCCATTACCTTCAACCTTTCTGCAGTGATATCTTTCCAATATTGGTTTCTGCACTTGCTATACAATCAAACAACTCTCGCTCATGCTCAGTAATCTTCTCCATTCAACTACCTGATACTCCCTTCACTTCCTCATTCATTCAGCGACCTCCCATCAGAGGATGCAGTACGCAGAGTAGTGGAATTAGGTGCAGCGCGCCACACGCTCATAACGGCGTTAAAATACGGCCTCCGTTCCACTGCTGCTAAATACAGCGCTCGTTGGATTGAGGTGACATAAGCCTTCGGTGAGGTTGCTGTATGGCTAGAAGGGCTAGGTTGGGCCAGTAGGGTTGGTGCAATGAGATATCTGCTAACGAAGTAGGGAGAGCGTACAGGTTAGCAAATATATGAAAAGTCACTGGGGAACATAGTTAGGACAGAATTCGAGGTGTGCGATGGTAACTACAGCCTCTTTTTTTTTTTTTTTTTTTTCATATATAATCACATAATCCCGCATACAGCAGTTCACCATGGCAGGGCCCTGCGCCTAAGCCCTCGATGCTCGGAGGCAAGTATCAATTACTGGCTCAGAGCTTGCTAGGAGTATGTCTCTGGTGCCCAATGGGGAGACTTCACCTCGATGATATGCCCATCTCGGTCCCAAACCTGCGCATGCTTAGAAAAACGCTTTTCGTTAACTGCTCAGGCATATGGTAAGGGTAAAGCATGAGGACTCCGGATTGGGATCGGAGGTATCTACTATGGGGGTACCCAAAACGATGCAATGCGGTGATGTACGGCGTGGAATTCGCGGTGAAGATATTTAATTTGAATGAGGAGATGCTAATACAGAGAGTCAACAAAGTAACCATACCAATCGGTCCAGGGTTTTGCAGATGGTTCGAAATGAATAAGAGCACTGAATGACCGACACTGACTAGTTGGAAAACTGACTCAGTTGTTGGATCGGACGGGTGGAGAGTAGAAGCTGGAGTTGGTAAGAAGGACCTTGCAGAGAACAATGACGTGGTTGGGGTTTCAGAATGGAAAGTTCATTATTGCAGTAACCATCAGCCGTACCTACCAAACCTAGAGAAGTGCGGAGGTAAATATACAAGTTTGACTTTAACACGGACCATTACTCCTTGAGACCCAAGTGAACTATAATTTCCTACTACCAAAATTTGAATGCAATTGTTAAGACATTTGGTGGACATTCAAAAACACCTGCCGTAGCTATGTCTCATGTTTTCTGTTACTTTTATAGGGCGTACAAAAGTCACAATTCATGCATTGCTTCAAGCAATCCAAATTTAATGACTCTATACTAAGGGCCCTTTGCAAAATACTTACGAATGGAACCTTGCCCTTCCTTTATTATGGAATAGCACGTAATCATAATAGGTAATTAGTCTGAGGCCAATATTGTCCCACGAGAAGCCGAGCTGTTGCAGGAATTCTGACTAAAGAATACGCTGTTGCTATCCGGCTGGGAGATTGAGGTGGAATCTTCTTTTTTTTTTTTTTTTTTGGCTTCACATAACCCCACATGCAAGCTACAAACCTATGGCAGGGAAGAGTGGAAGCATGAGACGCATGGACAGGCAGAAATTTAAACAATTTATAACTGGGGAGGTGGGTGTGCGAAGGTTATTGCAATGCTAAGTATCATTTATATACGTTGGTGGCACACAGAGGGCTGGTGTATGTTGTTGGCGTCGGAGGAGAACCTCAGATAAATCACAATTAAAACGCAGAGACGCCACGGTCCACGCTCACGAATACATGGTTGCAGGAATTGGGATCAGCGGCAAAAAGAAAAAGTTGGCTCGGCTGGGACTTGAACCCAGATTCCCCACCTCATACCTCAACCCTGCTTTTACCTCGCAGGATGTAGCCTTATCTAGTGGGTGTCCTCCCCATTAGACCACTGAGCCTTATTGTTGGTACAGATGAATGTAGAATACATAACTACTGCTCTACAATGCGCAGTCATGTCAGCATAAGCAAGCTGTAGCGGTGTCACAAACACTTAAAAGGACATACAAGCATAATGGAAGCTATTACTGGTACTTTCATTATCCCAATGGCGTCGTCGCATTGTATCGCAATCTTCTTCTCCATCTAGTCTCATACCAAGCTCCTAGTCTCCACCAGGTTTTCTGCAAGGTGATTTCATTTGCCAACAGTATGTGGGAGGCTAGTATAACTGCAGGCGACTGGTGATAATCAGAATGTTAAGGCGAGCGTCTAGCGCAGAACGATAATCTATTTGGACCAATATTAGCGAGCCCCTTGTCCGTTACACGACTTGAATCTTGGTCACGACGATATTGCGACGATTAATCGCGCAGCACCACATTTCTCCCAATCAGACTGTCTTCCCTCCGCCCCCCCAAAGAAAAAAAAAGAAAATTAAATAAACGCAATCGAGGTTCCACCAAAACCTAGTTATCCCATGACGGCTGCTGGCATAAACAAATCAAGCTAGTAGTACTTTTTCATAGCCTGCATGCAAAACCCCCATCGGGACTTCGTACTTGCGATACCAACCTTGTCTTACAGGCCCTCTTCTCCACTTAAGAACTCCTTTCGCTGTTCACTCTTCCAAAATATTAACCGTTTCCATAGCGCATCCGGCGCCACTGTTTTAGATATCCAAACGTCGCGTTTTCGTCAGAACCTCTATCGTAACACTTCCTCTCTCCCGACAGTTCCCATTACTGCCAATATCTACTATTCTTCCTTCCGTAAGTGTGGTTTTTGTTCATGACTTTCTACCATCAACAGCATCTAATACACATGCATGTTAATTCGGCCTGGTCATATTTAGCAGGGCTGAATACGAAGGAAATTTTTTTTTTATATATATCAGTACTCGCATGCCGCCCTATATACGAAGGGAAAAAAAAGTGTTCTTATTGCCATCATCCACAAGCTAACACCACCAGAAATGTCGATTGCACTTGGAAGAACCCAGGTTTCAACGAAGGCGACCTCAATGCTCACCCAGCAACCCATGTCCTCCGACAAACGCCTAAAGACCTCACATGACTCATCCCACGACTCCGTGACATTCGAATTCGTGGAAGACTCCAATTCTCTCAAGCGTAAAAGAAACGCCGTCAATGATGTCGTCATACAGATTTCGAAGCGCCAGAAACCAAGAAACACCGTACATTTCGCTGCAGAGGTCAATATCCGCTACATATGCTGGAGAGACTTACTTCTCGAGCCTATCCAGGACACTCAAAACACACCGTTGGGTACTGAAACAGCTGAGAAAGCTGAAGAAGAACAGGAAGACCTGAATGCAGAATGGATACAACTCGAAACGAAGATAAACACACTGTGCAACACCGGAACCTGTCGTTGGGAACATCCAGTGTTGCAGCACCAGCTGCCGGTTCAGTGGCGGTTGGGTGCGGACGGGCAGGTAGTATGGCATATGCATGTTTGGAATGTGCGACAGTACTGGGAAGTGTTTAGGCGTCGGTTGTGCCGGATAAGGATATTGAAAGTTGGGAGTGCGTTGGCACCCGTGGAGGAGTGCGGTTGTGAGCAGTGTTTACAGGGCGAAGTTTATGAGGGAGAAGAGTTCATGGAGGCAGGGGAGGTGGAATAGATTGATGCACACGTCGATGAACACAGTTCAGCTCAACATGAATCAGACCAGCCGCTACGCCCTTGAAGGGAACTGGAGTTGAAAAACTGGGCCGTTATGCATGGATTGAAAGAGCTTATATTGCCAATTATATAGAATTTTCAAACGAAATTCCTGCATAGGTGTGCAGAGCTTTTTTTTTTTTTTTTTGGTTCATTGATCGCATGCCGCCTTATGGACTATGGCGATTTAGGCACATAGCGAATAAAGTATAAAGTAGAAAGGATAACGTCGATAGTGACCCACGTCCCTGCTAGTGTGGTAGGAGAGCGAGAAAGATAAGAGAACCAGACCCAAATCTCAATCCATGTCATAGTACTACCCATGAAAAACTCTGTGTTACGGGCATAGGGAAACAGTGTCAGTCTATCTTCGTCCCCGGTCCCATTCATAATTGCAAGACTTCAGCCATTTCCTCCTAGTCTCACTCTTTCCAGCTCGACTTGCTCCTCCGAAGTATACCACGACCGAACTGGTGAGTTTTCCCTCCTTGTTGAGAATGTCCTTTTTTCTCAACCACCGAATACCCACTGTCCTTCCCAGATCTTTATTTGCAGCCTCCAACCATTTTCGGATGTTCCCAGATTCTTCCTGAGGGCTATCCCGTGTACGATGATGACATATCTTGTGCTAGTGGTGGCAGCGGGAGTCTTGGTTGGGGTATCAGAGGTGTCGGGTGTGGGGGTGTTTGTGCTCTTGCGCCCCTCTCGTTGGATGTGTAGAGGTTGGAAACGATGGTAGATCTTCTACTTAAACAGCAAAGACGGTGCCCACGCAACTTTCGCGGTGGGATCAGTGTATGCTTATGGCGTGGGCGGTGCCTATAAGTCTGCATACCATACCTGGACCGGAAGTGACGACCTTCAGATGCAAGTGCTTGTCGGGTTTAAATTTCTACCGCTTCATACGGTATCCAGCTATTACAACAAGTACAATTATGTAAACATGAATGTGGTTATCACAATGGTTTTGATTCTTATGCAGTACATATACGAGCGGGAGGGTCTGCGAGGGCTGCTTTGTCACGGTGAGGGCTATAGAAGTATAGAGATACCGTTAAGTCTATTGAACGTAGAGTCGCAAGAACAGCGGGTTTATATACATGAGAAAGCATAGCATAACGTGACTTGTGAACCATGACTGAATAGGAAATTATCAGAGAAGATATCATATCAGGAAAGGTGAGAAAGGCACGGGATGCGTGGCATGCAAAGAGAACGCCATGGCGTAAGCCACATAAAAGCTGGCGTTGTGGCGTATTCATACATAATCCAATAGCGAGGTTAAATGCATGAGTGGAACGACACAATAACAGAGAACAATAATAATAGCAACAGGTGGCAACGGATGTAATGTTCCGACAGTACATGCGTGACGACCACCAAAGTTCCACACTACTTCCGAGATTATTCTTTGTTTACATGCCCCTACTTCCTCATTTTACTATATACCTGCGGCGGACAAGATAGGAAGGTCGGTGGTGACCGAAGGGGGGCTGCGGCAGAAGTGGAGGAGACTGCGCGCAGCGGAAAGAAGGGAGCTAGGCTTCGGAGGGGGTGCGGTGATGGGGTGGAGCAGGGGAGCAGCTACCACCTTCACAAGACTGAGAACGGGGAAGGGGATGAGTAAGGAGTGGGAGGTGAAAATAGGGAAAGCGGCGGAGGGGAGCTTGTGTAGGTGCGGGCTGAAACAAACAGCGGACCACCTGGCATTCAGGTGTGAAGAGGTGAGATATCCAGAAGGCTGGGAGGAGTGGCTGGATATAGACAGAAGGAGGTGGGTAGAACGGCAGGAGAACGGGGAGGAAGTCGACGTACTGGAGGAGTTTTTTAAGGCGCTGAGAACATGAGAAGGGGAGGGGCGTTTTTTCGTTTGTTCGAAGGTGGCGGCGGAGGCTTGATGTAGCTATTTTCAGTGCCACGGGGAGCCGTGGCGGAGATTTTTTTTTTTTTTTTTTGGAATTTCATTACTCGCATGCCGCCCTACGGGCTATGGCGAGGGTTTATTTAAAAGAAAAAAACTAACTAAACTTAAATACATAGGGCCCGCGGTTCTACATGTGCACGACCACCGATCCGCCGTGGCGGAGAGGGGGTGAGATTTCGTTTGTAGAGGAGGCGATGGAAGGGTAGTTAGATAAGCCTGCCTCCGGGCTTTGAGAGTTTAGACCCACTGCCATGGCGAATAGCTGCATACGGGGTCATGTGATTATAAAAAAAAAAAAAAAAGTACTATATACCTACGACTGTATTTCTGCCAGTGATCTTCATGCTCTATCTTTGCTGGAAGTGCACTTTGTCCCTGTTTCTATAGCCATTTTTGAGGGAAGTATTTAAAGGTTGACCTAGTGCATAATACCAAACCTCCCAGGTTTAGGTACGAACCCGTAAATACTTCAGTGTCGCACTTAAGGGAACAAGCTCTACAACTATTCTATCACTGTTCACCGCTCCAAGGTATGTTATGTCGTGTAAGGATAAAATGTAATCGCAAAATCAATAATCGTTTCACTGCACGCCTTGAATCAGGTATTGGTCTATATATCTGAAATCAAGCAAACCTTCGGATATGTAGCAGCGTAACAAGAGATTTCTGAGCACACCTTTTAAATTGTGTTCAGAAACAGGCAGTTAAATTCAATATGGCATTGAAGCGCTTCAATGTTGGTCTTGCGGAAAGCCAACGCAGGTTCGATCGTTCACACAATTGCTGTACGGAAAACATTCCGATGGCTCTTGTGGTTTGAGCCTGCTTGTTTTTCTGATACTGATACAAACGACACCTGCTTAGTAAGCCTACACAGCTTTTTTTTTTCACATCGTTAGCAGCGGTTCGCCATCGCAGGGCAGCAAATACTAGTGGCTGGGCACGAGACTAGGCAGCAAACACTTTTGTATGGGTGCCACACTTGACTCCATCCTTTGTTTCCTTCTTCTCCTTCGTTGCTACCGACATTGTCGCTGGCCTACCACCCCCTGGGTAGGATGCTATACCACCCCCAGCAGCATCATACTTAACCATAATATAACAACACCATATATCCATAATTGCGAGGGCTGCACGTCGTGTCTACCTACATTATCAATGAATACCATGAGTATGCGCTTCTCTTCTCAAGCCATTTGAACAACACCTTTCTCATCTATTCGTTTGTGACCCGCATTAGAATGGGACCACACGATCCTGTTGAAAGGTCTGATTTAACGTCCGGCTGTTACATCATTGATGTGGCTTACACGGTAGGAAATTAGTGGGGGCGATACTGGAGGTAGG